GAGCCACTGAACGAGGGTTTATTTCTTCCTTAAATATTGAAAGAATTCACTGATCTCAGTTCAAAGTGTGCTATTTGGGGGAAGGGTGTTAAAATTTCCGATAATTTTGTTTCTGATACAGAAGTGATAAAAATAGCTATTTCTTCTTGCGTCCATTTTGACGAGTTGTATTTGTTTTAGGAATTTATACATTTTATTTGCGTCTTTATTAACAAAACTGTTCCAAATACTCTATCTTCTTGATCCCTGCTTGACTTACGGTGACACATCATTTCCATCCCTAATATTGCAAATTTGTGTCTTTTTAAATTAGTCTTGCTAAAATTGTATGAATGTTTTCTTTTAAAAAAACTTTTTGTTTTTGATACTATCCGTTGTATATTTGTTTTCTATTTTATTAATTTTTCTTTTTACTTTTTTGAGCTTTTTAGAGCACTGACTTTAATAAGCCTTTATCTTTTCATATTATAGATTTTTTCCTAAATTTATTGTTAGTTTCATCTCACACATTCCTTGTTTTTTTATTACAATTCAATTTAAAATGTTTTATTTCCATTATGATTTCTTTTTTGACCGATGGGTTATTTGGAAGTAGATTGTTTAATTTAAAAATATGTGAAAGTTTTTCCATTTGTCTGTTACAGATTTCTAGTTAAATTACTTTGCTTTAATAAGCCTTCCAACGGGAATTTGCTTTAAGGCTTATTATACAGTCTGTTTGGATAAATGTCCCATGCTCATGTGAAAAGAATGTAACTTCTGCAACTGTTGGGTACAGTATTCTATATATCTCAATTAGGCCACTTTTGTGAATTTTGTTATTCAAATCTTCTACACTCTTACTTTTTGTCCACTTGTTCTGTCAGATGCTGAGGGATGTATTAAAATCACCCAAACATGATTATGGATTTGTTTAATTCCTTTTAATTCTGTGAGATTTTTCTTTATATATTTTGAAGCTAATAATTAGATGTTTAAATTTAATTTAAATTTTTAGTATTTTCCTGGTGGATTGATCCTTTTCGTTTTTGTTTTTGTTTTTGTTTCCTGAGACAGAGTCTCAAGCTATTGCCCTGGATAGAGTGCTGTGGTGTCACAGCTCACAACAACCAACTCTTGGGCTTAAGCGATTCTCTTGCCTCAGCCTCCCAAGTAGCTGGTACTACAGGCGCCCACCACAACACCTGGCTATTTTTTGTTGTTGTTGTAGTTTTCATTGTTGTTTTAGCTGGCCCAGGCTGGGTTTGAACCACCAGCCTTGGTGTATGTGGCCGGCACCCTAACCACTGAGCTACAGGCACCACCCCTTTCTTTATTATTTAACATTCCTCTTACTATCCACTAGTTCTCCTTGCCTTTGTTTTAATTAGTTATATTAGCATGTATGTAGTAATATAACTACAAAAGCTTTTTGGGGAGGGTAAAATTTGCATGTTATATCATTCTCCATCTTTTTATTTTTAACATCTTTCCCCCACGTATTTACAGTACATCTTTTATCCATACCATATACTTGAGATTTTAAAAAATCCAATCTGGTACTCTTTGGTTTTACACTTGGTGTAATTACTGATAAATTTGAGTTGAAATCTACCATCATCGGCTGAGCAAGGTGTGTCATGCTTGTAATCCTAGCACTCTGGGAGGCCAAGGTCAGTGGATCACTTGAGCTCAGGAATTGGAGACCAGCCTAAGCAAGAACAAGACTGTGTCTGTACTAAAAATAGAAACTCTAGCCAGATGTTGTGGTAGGCGCCTACAGTCCTAGCTACTGGGGAGGCTGAGATAAGAGGATCACTTGAACCTAAGAGTTTGAGGTTGCCATGAGCTATGACACTACAGTACTCTACAGGGGGCAACATAGTAAGACTCTGTCCCCTCCTCCAAAAAGAAAGAAATCTGCCATCTTAATAGAAGCTCAATATTTGTCTTGCCTGTTCTATGTTTCCTTTTCTTTGTTCTTATCTCATTCTGGATTGAATAGTTTGTATGATCACATTTTCCCATCTCTTAGTATATAAAATTGATAACAGGAATAAAACTGGGTGGGACCATATAGCATCCTGACTGTTCTTCAAATGTACTTGGAACTCTGTTAAAATCCAGATTTCTGCTTCTCACCCAGAAGTATGGGATCAAAATGTGGAGCAGGCGGCAGGCAAGGAGCATGTTTTTACACTCCATGTGATGGACAGCCAGTTGAACCATCAATCTATACTCTGTTTCCCCCTTCACTTTTGAGAGGTACATACAGAGAATGTGGCGAAAAAAATACTTTCAGAATAGGTCTCTTGCTTAGCACTTTGACAGCTCCTACACAGGGCCCAGATGTTATGCCCTGGCCGGACCCCAGCCCCGAGGCTGGCTGGCAATCTCCCTGAGTTTAGCCTAGAGGCTCCCACAGTCAGGCATAAGATTCTCAGTCAGGCTTGACCACCTCCTCTCAGCTGGTGTCTGGTACCACATGACCGGCAGCATGATGTTGGAACCTGGCTCCTTTCTCCTCATTGCTGCCCTCTGGTTCCAGGTAGGGTGGCTCTGGAGGATGAGTAAATATTTGTTTCCATCTCACAGGGAGATCTCAGTTATCTCCAAGAAGCCCAGCACTGTTTGTGCTGAATACACTTTATCACAATGCACACTTTTACTTTTGTTTTATTATAAGTCATTTGCCATTACAATATTGATGGCACTGCAGAATGCATTTTTGTAAAGTTGTCTGGCATAGTCCTGAGCCCTTGTTTCCTGTAGAAAGAGAGGATACTTTTAAAATTAACCACAAAAGCCCTAAAGGATGTTACAAAAATGTGTATCTACCTCTTATGATAGCGTTTTCAGCTCTATAAGAGATATTTAAGATTGGCATAGCAACTTTACTGTCAACAATTCAAATGAGAAAAAAGAAAAACCCTGGACAATGGAGAATTAAACAAACAATTTTTTTTGTACCTTAAACAGGAAAATACTTGGTATAGAGAAAGACTAAAATAAATCAAGGAAAAAACAATCTATTAACTGGAAACATAAAAAATAATATCATCTTCCACCAAAATAATAATATACTATGAATAAATGAACAGCTGTGCCCTATAGTGAGTAGAGGCATTTTAGATTTATAATATCATGTTATACATAAATGCATATGCTATTGTATTCACAAAAGCAAAAAGTATGAAGTAAAAATTCAACACTTGTTTTTCTTCTAATAATTTCTCAAAAAGAGATTTTGTTTGGGAAAGAAGAATTCTAAAGAGTTTTTGTGCGTTTGCTTTTGTTTAGCTTGAAGGTTTTAAAAACATATTTTTATCAAAAAGCACTCAGGCCTCTTTTCTGTGTGCAGGGAAGGGGCCCTGTAGCCTGCACTACAGGGAGCTGGCTTCTAGTCCCCTCACTCTCATCTCCCATGTGGCTTTATAATTTGAGCCCTTGAACAAAATATGATAAAGACACAAAATGTGATCCCAAAACATGAGAGACAGGGGAGGGGGTGAAGGGAGGTACACCGTCTGCTCAAGCTCTTCCTTTAGAAGGCTCAGACTTTCTTCAGTCAGTGGGCACCTGAGAAGACTCCAAGGTTGGTCCTGCACACTGCTCAGAGGATGCATTCCCTACAATGGCAAGACTGCACAGGGGATGGAGACTTGTTCTTGGAGGATGAGGGAGAGCTGGCTACTGACCTACTGGCTCCTATCCATCCTCCCAGAGAGATGTCACTGACTCTAGCATCTGTCCTTGGACATTTCTCAGAGGTATTTTCAGCCTTTTGGGTTATGCTGTTTTACTGTTATGCCATCTGTTTGGATTGGATAGGAGATGAAGCGACGTAGCTTCCTCTTTCTGTTTGGAAGTTTTCGTTCAGGTCAGGCAGCTGGCATGTGTGTCCTCCCTGGAGGCTCAGGCTTCCTGGGTAATATGGGTCAGTGAGCAAACTGACTTGAGTCTTATCCCCCAGAGAGGCTTGGAGAGACCTTTATAGTGTGCTGGGTAGCTCTGGTGGCCTGAAGGAGGGGCCAGGAAAGCAACAGGAAGCCTCCCTCTTAGGGAAAGATAGCAAAGGACAAGAAGGAACAGGTCCCAAACTCCCTTCTGTTGGCCATGGGGCCTGCGGGAGAATTCTCCCCAGGGGAATCTGAGAATTATTTTTGCAGAACTAACAAATATTAATAAAAAGCTATCAAATAAAATGGAAATAGCCTTCTCTGTATTTTCATTTTCAAGTATCTCTAGGCACATTTAAGAGGGATTTTTTTAAAGATTGCACCTTTCATTCAGGCCCATTCAATGCCAAGGTTAGCCAGGCTTCTCTCCCAAACAGAGTTGAAAGGAGTGCAAAGAGGGTCAGTTGACACCACCCAGTGGGCAGTGTTTGCTATCACTTCTACTATCTCATCTGATCCTTACTCCAACCCTGTGAGTTGGCAAGACATGTATTACCGTTTGCACTGTAGTATCTCTAGGTTACTTAGGGAGGAAGTGGCCCTGGAACCCTGGAAACCTTTCTTCTGGTTTGGTCCTTCTGTCTCTGTCCATTGCCACTTCTAACTCATTTTTGGGAAACGAGCTGCTCTTTGTGGCCAAACGCACCTGGAAAAAGTGGATTTACTTAGCACTTGTGAAACCACCCTGAGGATAGGCAAGGTGAGATGGTGGAAATGCCTACAATAAAGGAAGCACCTGAAAAAGTCAAATGCATGAAGGAATGCAATTAGAACTGAAACAGTTTTCTGGAGAATCTTTGAAATCTATGACCAGTCTGAGTCCTAACTGCAACAAAATCACGGGCATTGCTTATATTTAACATTTCAACACAAGTTAATAATAGTTTTTTAAACACATCTTAGGTAGGAGGGAAGGCGGGGGTTTAAAAAGAGGAAAGGGAAGAATATGGGGTCTGGGGTCTCTGTGGGTTTTCTCATTGGCTCAGCAATGAATGAGGGAGCATTCCAGGCTTCCAACAGTCCTTGCAGCTCGCTGTGCCAGGGGAGTTCTGTGGGTTCAAGCTAACGACCATGTTGACCATTGGGAATGAGGTGCCTGTCAGCCCCCAAGCCGTTCTTCAAACAGTCTGTCTCTTTGCTTTTGGTAGCCTCTTCTTCCTCTTCCTCTTCTTCATCATCTTCATACTCATCCTCGCCATCACTTCTCACATCTTGGATTTCCTGGGCAAAGGAAGGAATTGGCTGTGAGTGACAACCTTCTAGGAAGTGTTTTGAGCAAATGTTCAAATAGGCTCAGTTTAGAAGCATGACTCTCTTTAAAAGAAACCCAATTTCCAAACAACCAAAAACTTCATAAAGATTGATCATATTATGGAGCATAAAAGAAATCTTAACATATATAAAGAATTAAAATTATAGAAAATATTCTGGATTATAATGGAATTAAATTAGAAATCAATATCAATAGGCAATAGGACTCTTGGAAATTAAACAACACCCTTCTAAATAGTCAATGGGTCAAAAAGTAAGTATCAAAGAATATTAGAAATATTTTGAAGTAAATGAAAATAAAAATATAATGTATTAAAATTTGTTGAATGCAGCTAAAATAATTCTTTAAAAGGAAATTTACACTACAAACTCTTGGTATCAGGAAAGAAAGATCTCAAATAATTTATGCTCCAACCTTAGCAACTAGATAAAAGAAGGACAAAAGCAAGCAAAAGGAAGGAAATTATAAAATAAATTGATGAAACCAAAAATAGAAAAGCAATAAGGAAAAGAAAAAAAATCAAATTCTGGTTCTTTGAAAAGATCTGTAACATTAATAACTCATTAGTAAGACTGACAAAGAAAAAAAGAGTGAGAGCACATATTATCATAAAGGAAAAAGGGAGCTATGACTATAGATCTATAGGCAATATAAGAATAATAACAGAATGGTATGAACAAGTTTATGCATACACACCTATTGACCACCCAGTTGGTCAACATATGGAGGTGTTCAACTTAAGGAACTAGGCCTACTGCACTGATACATACCTGTGGTACATGTCTGGTCTATAAAAATTAGATCAACTTAAGGAAGCAGTCAATGCAGGGAGGTGGTCAACTATAAAGGTTCTACTATACTTTTAACAACTTAGCTGAAATGAACCCCTTCTCAAAAACTAGAAATCACTCAAGTTTGTCCAATATAAAATCGATAACCTGAATAATCATATAACTATGTAGGAAATTGAATTTGTAGTCAAAAACCTCCTGAAAAATAACAGCACTAGGCCCAAATGGTTTCATTGGCAAACTTTATAAAACATACAAACACCAAATCTCCACAATCTCTTTCAAAAAATAGAATAGGAGAGAACATGTCCCAGTTTATCTGAGGAGGCCAGAAATTGCCTAATACCAAAACCAGACAGACATGACAACTAGAGAAAAATAGCTCTAATGAATCTGGACATAAAAATCCTCAACAAAATATTCTAAATCAAAATAAGCAATATATAAAAATAATAATGCTTCATGACAAAGTGGGATTTTCTCTCATTAATGCAAGGTTGATTCAATTTTTGGATATCTGTCAATGTAATTCATATTAATAAAGAAGAAAATAATAGTTATATTAAATGATGCAGAAAAAAATCATGTGACAAAATTCCACATGTATCTGTGATAAAATTAAAACTCTCGACAAAGAAAGAATAGAAAAGAATTTACTAAAGGATATCCATAAAATCTTATAGCTAAAATTAGCACTTTCCCCTTAAGACTAGGTACGAGGATGTCTACTTTCACCCACTCCTATGCAATATTGAATAGGGAGGCTTAGTCAACATAATAATGTAAGAAAAAGAAATAAAAGTCATACAAATTGGAAAGAAAGAAATACAAGTGTCCTATTTGCATATGTCATGATTGTCTATGTAGAGAATCCTAAAGAATCTACAAAACAATTCCTAGAATTACTAAGTCAGGTTTATCAAGATTGCAGAACATAAAGTCAACACAAAATAATCACACACAAATCCACACACACACACACACAAATCTTCATTACTAAACACTAACATAGTAGGCTGAAAACTGTCCTCAAAGAAATTAGGTCCTAATCCCTGGACCTGTGTTGTTATCTGATACCTGCTTAAACTTTTTGCAGACGTGATTAAGGTAAGGATCTTGAGGTGAGAAGATTATCTCAAACTATCCAGGTGGGCCCTAAATGCCATCACAAGTGTCCTTGTGAAACAGAGGCTAGGAAAACTGACCACAAAGAAGAGGCAATATGAAGACGAAGAAGAGACTGGAATGATGCAGTTACAAACCAAGAAATGCCAGCAGCCCCCAAAAACAAAGAACAAATTCTCTCCTTCGGCTTATGGAGGGAATGCAGCCCTGATAACACTTTGATTTTGGCTCAAAATTGATTACAAACTTGGGACCTCTAGAACTATAAGAGTACATTTCTGTTGTTGTAAGCACCAAGTTGTTACAATGGCCATAGAAACTAATACAACTAACAGTGTACAATTAAAAACTGAAATTTATCTTCTTGGGAGAAGGGTCTGTTCATTTCTCTTGCCCAGTGATTAACTGGTTGTTTGCTTTTAATTTGCTTGAGTTCTCTGTAGATTCTGATTGTTTAGCCCATTTTCAGATTTGTAACATGAGACTACCTTCTCCCATTCTGAAGGTTGTCTATTTGCTTTTTTTTATTGTATCCTTAGCTGTGCAGAAGCTTTTAAGCTTGAGCAGGTTCCACTTATTTATTTGATGTTGCTGCAATTCCCAATGAGGTCTTTTTCATAAAATTTTTCCCCAGGCCTATATCATTAAGAGTTTTTCCTATGCTTTCTTCTAGAGTTTTTTTTTTTTTTTAAGCATTTTGTGTTTTAGATTTAAATCTTTTATCTAGCATGAGTCAGTTTTTATAAGAGGTGAGAGGGGAGGGTCCAGTTTTAGTTTTTTATATGAAGGATGACCAATAAACACATGAAAAAATGCTCACCATCCCTAAGCATCAGAGAAATACAAATCAAAAATACCTTGAGATAATCCCAGTGGGAATAGCTCACATTACAAAGTACCAAAGCTGCAGATGCTGGTGAAGGTGCAGAGACAAGGGAACATTTATACACTGTTGATGGGATTGCAAACTAATACAGCATTTTTGGAAGGAAGTATGGAGAATACTCAGAGCTAAAAGTAAACCTTCGATTTGATCCTGCATCCCATTACTAGGTATCTACCTAGAAGGAAAAAAATTATTTTACCATAAGGGCATTTGCACTCAAACGTTTACAGCACTTTGCAAATGTGTGAATTCACAATTGCAAAGATGTGGAAATAACCCATGTGCCCAACAACCCATGAATGGTTTAATGAACTAAGGTATAGGTGTATCATGGATTACTATTCACCCATAAAAAGATGAATACTTTACATGTTTGGTATTTACCTGGGTCAAGTTGAAGAATGTTCTCCTTGGTAAAGTTTCTTAAGAATGGAAAAGCATGTACTCAATACTAATTTGAAACTAGTAGGTGAACAATTACAGGCCCAAACAAGAGGAAAACCCAATTAAATTCATGAAGGGGGGGGTGGAAGAGGGGAAAGGGGCTCATAAGCTCCCACCTAATGGGTACAATGTAGGGTGTATGGAACCCCTGGGTGAAGGACTCAGATAGAATGCAGACTTTTCCTAATAAAAGCAAACAATGCAACCTAATCATATGTATTTCTATATTAATCCAAAAATAAAACAAAAGCAAAAACACTGAAATTTTAAAATCTGCAACATTTACAGTAGTTTCAAAAATGAAATACTTAGGTATACAGCTAACAAACTATGTATAAAATCTTCATGTAAAACCTACAAAACTGTGGTGTAAAAAATCAAAAAAGACCTAAATAATTGGAGAAACATACTATATTCATGAATTAGAAGACTTAACACACTAAAAATATTATCTCTAAATTGATTTCTAGATCCCACAAAATACCAATCAATTCCCAGCAGAATTTTCTGTAGATACAGACAAGCTGATTTGCCAGCATCATTTGCTAGGTAAGGTACTACTCATGTAGGAGTTTTGGTTGTCAGGATATTTTTACATGGATATTTTAAATTTACATGGAAAGGCAAATGAACAAGAATATCTAAAGCAATTCTGAAAAAAATGAATAAAATGGGATGACTTAAAGATCTAATTTTAACTTAAGAAATTTACAGTAATCAAGAGAAGGTGGTATTAGGAAAAGGATAAACACGCAGTGGAACAGAATAGAGACTCTAGAAATAATTCCAGACAACAAATATAGCTGACTGAGTTTTTACAAAGGTTCAAGGTGATATAATGAAGAAAGGATAGCCTTTTAAGGAAATGGTTGGAATAACTGGACATCCTTAGGCACAAAAGTAAGTTTTGACCTAAATGTCATACCTTATACAAAAGTCAACTCAAAATGAATTGCAGGCTTGGGGCTTGTAGCACAGTGGTTATGGCACCAGTCACATACACCAAGGCTGGTGTGTTCGAACCCAGCCCAGGACAGCTAAACAACAATGCCAACTGCAACAAAAAAATAGCCGGGCATTGGGAGGATGCCTAGCTACTTGGGAGGCTGAGGCAAGAGAATCGCTTAAGCCCAAGAGTTTAAAGTTGCTATGCACTGTGATGCCACAGCACTCTACCAAGGGTGACATAGTGAGATTCTGTCTCAAAAATGTAAGATGTAAAACTATGAAACTTTTAGAAGAAAACCTAGGACCTTGCACTGGGTAATGGATACCCAGGTGTAGCACAAAAAGCATACTCTATAAAAGAAGAAAATTGTTAAACTAGACTTCATCAAAATTAAAACTTTTGCTGAATTAATTTGGAAACTATTCAGAGAATGAAAAGAGAAGCTGCAAACTGGAATTGTATACACCATAAAGAACTCCCAAAAGTCAACACTAAGAAAACAAACAACCCTATATTTTAAAATAAACAAAAGACATAAAAAGAGACACCACATGGAAGAAAACACAAGGTAACAAATAAGCATATCAAAAGATGTTCAGCATTATTAGCCATTATGAAAATGCAAATTGAAGCTATTAAAATAGGTAAAATTGAAAGTACTGGCAATACCAAGTGCTGACAAGGATGGAGAATGACTGGACCTCGCATGTATTGCTGGCAGGGGTGCAAATTGGTGCAGACAGACACTCTAGA